ATATTGCAATCAGACCAAAACTGTAGGAAAAGTAGCGTTTTAAAGGAATTTCACAGAAATTTCTATTTTTAGTAATCATGGCAACACCGTTCATCGAAATCAAAAACCGATGCACATAATTCTGTGCATCGGTTTTTGATTTTGATGAACATTGTTGACTTGGTTTGACGTCTCTCTCGAGAATTTTTCACTCATATGAAGAAGCCACCACTTGCCACCACAGCTGCAAATTTTGTCCTATACTCGGCACTTAGGGCCATTGAGCAGAGAGGGATCTTTTTCGTGCCAGCACCTACTGCGACAAGGGACCTCGGTGTATACCTCGGTATATAGCTGCAGATCTGTAACGTTATGGTTTTATATATTTGTGTTTGACCATAATGGTACAGATCTGCAGCTAGGTCTCATCCGAAGGACCGGTTTCCACGCCCCACAGTGGGATTCGAACCCACGACGTAAGCCCAAACAAAGAACTTGTGTCCACGAATAATTATATACTCAACCATTTGAAATATGAAAACCCAAGTACTAAACTTTCAAAAGTTATGACCAAGATTAAAGTTTTTTAAAGGTGGATCAAACACCTAGGTTAAATTGTGAAAATTAATGTTACACACGGGAAGACTTTGTTATAAGAAATATACAAGAAAAGAATACTTCAGTACAAGAGGCTCTCATCTTTAACAGGACTTCACATTATCTGTTGCTAAAAAAATGGATTTCCTTGGATACCAGTCCATTAATACGTCCAAAATAATTTTTAATTGTGTTTTAGCATTAGGCAGGGCAACAACGTTTATAAACTAAAACCTTTTGAAAAAAAGACTATCCGTTTAATGGATGCATGCTGATTTTGACTATTTAAAAACAATTACAGAAACATCTCTTTCGACAATACCGGTACATATATTTCATTTGACTGTCTTTCATATAAAGCAAAAAGAACTCTTGATTGTAACCCCTCTTTGCCTAAATTAAAATATGTTTCTGAGAAACAAAATAATGATTACTGGAATAGAGGCCTCACAAGACATACTATTTTCTATCCATTTGAATTGGCAAAAGCTTGCATTTGCTACAATTGATCAAGAAAATTCAATATGCTCTTAAACTCAAGTGTCCTTAAAGGCTCTTTAATTAAAATACATTTCCGTTATAAACCATTGCTAGTTGATCAATATCGACTTGTGTTATTAACAGATATAGATTAACCGTTGTATTATTGTTATTCCATCTATAAATTTATTGACACAAAATTAAAAAAATGCATTTCCAAACAGTTGACGTTTCCCACGGCTAAAAGCCAAAAAAAAAATTCATTCATTCTTAATTAATGGATTCATTAATTTGTTGTTCATGTCCGTAGGTTATGGATAAATGCTACAAGTTTAGAAATAACGTTCATTAGGACGTTGTTTACGGAGACCATGCGATAATGTCGTTGGTAACGCTTTCAGTGGACTCGGATGAAAAAGACGTTAAAGAAAAGGAGGACAGAGAGGATTTTACTCCAATTCAAACACACCTCCGACCTTTCCTAGTTTTGTTGCAGTGTTTTGCGTTACATTATCCAGAAAATGGCCAAAGTTTGTCACATATGAAAAAGATAAAAGCAGTTCACCCAATGGAATCACCAACACGCGAATCAAAGCTTAGCGTCCAGTTTGTGTACTGTTTGGTGATTCTGATCATTATGAGTTTGAACGTTCTTCGCTACATTCCATCATTTTGGGTTGGATATGACTTCATTCCAAACCTTACAACCCCAAGAGTAATCAACATTGTCTGGTTTTGTCAATGCTTCTTCAATTCTGTCTTCATTTTCAAAACTTGCTCCAGATATGGGAACTTGCATGCTTTCATCCATTTCTACAACTCAATTTCTACGGATGAAATTTCACGTCGACTGAACCTGAAGACATCTTATGTCAAATTCAGAAAAATTGTGTGGTTTATGGTGGCTATTGGCAGTGGTATGATCATTTTCAACGTCACTGGATGTTTTCTGATTATTTTTATTGAAGAGAATAAAACATTTGAAATCCTGCAGACAGATCCTTTTCCGGCCTCTCGACTAGTGACTCTGCCTATCCTAATTGTTGGTCTGTATTGCTTTGCAGCATGGCTGCTACCACTTGGACTAGTTGCTTTGCTCTTGTTGTTAATAAAATATCAGTTTGATACCATAACCTCTCGTCTGCAGAAGCTCTTAAAAGAGGATGGCCAAAAAGCTATTTTTAAAATCAACGAAATACGATTGAAACATTTGCAAATCACTAAAGCTGTAGAAATACTGGACCGCGATATCAGGTTATTTTTTGCAGGTGTTTATTTGGCAGGGATACTGATATGCTGCTTTATCGCGTACAATTTGATTAACAGAAAAATTTCAGGAACTTTTGAAATGGTCATGTATTTATATTGGCTAATTATGAACAAAATTATTATCATTTCATCTTCAGTTTTGGCAGCTCAAGTCAATGAAGCGGTAAGAAAAATATTCTTTTACAACTTTTAAACAATGACAAAATAAATGGATAAAAGTTGCTACTTAAAAAAAATTATTTATTGAAATTATTTATTCTAGGCACACAGTCCTTTGAACTCTATATATCAGATAGATATGAACAAAGCCAATCACGTGGACTGTTCCTATGTATGTATGCATCAAAACCTGAAATATTGTACCAACAATTTTTTTTTCTTAAGTTAAATTTTAGAATATTAATTATATATACATGTATAGAAATGTCTGATAATTCGTTTTCTGAACAAGAACAATATCTTAATAAGTTGCTTTGTAATATGTTTCTGTAAAACTCTTTCTCTCATAAATTTCTTCTCAGAAATTTTAAAAATATGTCCCAATAATTCATTTGAACCATGATGTGTTTGATATAGGTGAGCTTGTTTGTCCCTGTTATTCATTTGAACCCTGATCTGTTTGATACAGGATACCCGGTAACTTGATTGTCCCAGTTATTCATTTGAACATTGATGTGTTTAATACAAGTGTCCTAATTTGTTCTAGTTATTCATTTGAACCCTAACGTGTTTTATACAGGTGAGCTTGTTTGTTCTAGTTTTTCAATTAAACCTTGATCTGTTTGATACAGGATACCCGGTAGCTTGTTTAACCCTGTTATTTATTTGAACCCTAATCATGCTAATGTGTTTGATACAAGTGAGCTTGTTTGTCCCAGTTTTTCAATTGAACCTTGATCTGTTTAATATAGGAGGGTTTTTTTTCCCAGTTATTTATTTGAACCTTGGCGTTTGAAACAGGTGATTTGTCCCAGTTATTTATTTGAACCTTGATGTGTTTGATCAAAGTGAGTTTGCATCTCCAATTTATTTGAACCTTGTGTTTAAAACAGGTGAGCTTGTTTGTCTCTAAATTGAATGGCCCAGCTGTAGGATTTACCATGATGTCTACGGTTACCATCACAAAAGAACTTCTTTTAACGGTAGGAATAAAATATGTTGTATATGAATAAGATATATTTTTGTAGATTTCTTTATCAAAATTTATCTATAAATAAATTATGATTGTTTGAAAAACATACGTGAGTATCAACATATTTCATATATATGGGACAAATAATTTAATTTCATTGATATGCACTAGTTTTTAACGTTAAATGTTTTGTGCAACAAATATCGGTAAAAAATCAGATAATTTGAAAAAGAATCTAAATTTGAGATGGAACAAGTAATTACGTGTGCTTGTATATAATGGTATATTCAAATAATGTACATCGGTTCTTGTAAAAAAAAATTGTAAGTAGCTACTCCTCTTCACGAAAATCATATTTATAATTAATTAAATATATTTCTTTATTCTTTGCAGTTAGCTGGACTTTATATTTCCTATCTATTTCTTCTGATGCAATTTCAACTTTGAGTATATCTGGATGATTTTAGCTGGACAAGCCACATTTGCATTTCATCGAAGTGAAGATACTTATTTGAATTGATTAAACAATTAATTTACTGATGTGACTACCTTTTTTTCAAACCGATTTATTATCTTAGTGCCTATCAAACATAAATCAATACTATATAAATGTATCTTAAGAGTATAGTTTTTCTTAACTTTCAGAAATTGATACTTATAAGATACATGTATGCAACAAGTCATGTATAGAAATCATTTTTTCCTCTGTAGGACATGTAAAAGCTGGAGTTCCCCAGGGCTCAGTACTTGGTCCATTGTTATTTTTATTGTATGTAAATGATGTGGCCGAAAGTATGATATCTGTTTGTAGATTATTTTCTGATGATAATTCTTTACAACAATGTTCAGATAATATTAATCATATTGAACAAAAAGTATAAACCATGATCTTAAAATACTAGATGAATGGTCAAAGAAATGGTAATTGAAATTTAACCCACAGAAAACCAAAGCAGTATTTTTTAATTTAAAAAATGTACAGCATTTTCCTAAATTATTTTTTGACAATTGCCAATTGGAATATGTTACAGAACACAAACATCTTGGGATACTTTTGTCGTCCAACTTAGGATGGTCTGATCATATTAATATCATTATAAAGAAAGCATACAAAAAACTGGGGCTCCTTAAAAAACTAAAATTTATTGTGTCAAGAGATATTCTGTCCCAGATGTATACTAGTATATCTTTTATTAGACCACAACTTGAATATGCTGTTGAAGTTTGGTCTGGATGCACAAAAACAGACATTGAGAATCTTGAAGAAGTACAATTATTTGCTGCAAGAATAGTTACTGGGCTTAAAATTATTGCTTCAAGAAATTCATTATATTTGGAAACAGGTTGGGAACCATTAAAATATAGAAGAAATAGGGCAAAACTAATAACAATGTATAAAATGCACAATAATTTAGTACCTAACTACATGTATTTACAAAACTTAGTACCTGATACAAGAGGCAATATTTCAGGATACACTGCCCGGAATTATTTAAATTATTCTTTGCGAAAATACAAATTAGAGCTATATAATAAATCATTTATTCCCGATACTGTTAGAAAGTGGAATTCCCTTAGTCTTAAAACAAGGGAGGCAACTTCTATCAAAATTTTTTAAAAATCTGCAAAATAGTAATGTAAAACCTTCGAAATATTTTTCTTATGGAAAAAAGTTTTTGAACATAATTCATACAAGATTAAGACATAATTGTATTTTGAAATCAGACTTATATCGCTGTAATATAATAACCAGTCCTAATAGTTCTTGTGGACTACCAGAAGATGCATATCATATGTTCTTTGTTTGTAAATATTATGTAAAAGCAAGAAATTCCTTAATGAATAAGCTATTGTCATTTAATTATTTACATGTTATAGATGTGCATTTAATGCTATGGGGCGATGATACTCTTACTATTGAACAAAATGCTGAACTTTTCAGGACTATTCAAACTTTCTTAAATGAAATTGGTCGTTTTTCAAAATAAATTTCCTTTTCTTTCATACTATGTCAAATTATATTTGTACATTTAAGAATTTTTCCCCTTTCTATTGCTACAATGTATACAATGTATGTTGTAGATCATATGTATATATGTTGTTGTTTTTTTAATTTTTGCAATTTTACAAAATGTTGTATTAGGAGAGGACTATCTAGGTTACTGAACTTGTGTCCGATCTTTTTGACTTTGTTCAATAAAATATGTTCAATTCACATGTATGCTGTTTTAAGGTAAATACGACAATTTAGTCACGTGAGGATTACAATATTCACCGAGCCCGAAGTGTGACTATTGTACTTTGAGGATGGTGAAATCAACGTAGAAAGAAAAATTCATCGATAATTTTTTTTATTAATATAAATAATTTAATAAAGAATTCTTTTGAAAATATTTTGGGTGATATATTATCATGATGAAATTTTATTGTTCTAAAATATTTATCTAGTTTCTGAAATTAAGCTTATGTTTCATGTTTTTAAAACAATTCTTTCTAAATTTTAGAGCTTTTCAAATTATTTTCTCTGTTTAATTTACGTCTCTTGATCTTTATTGAATTATATCACCGGAGATTTCAGGTAATCCAAGCTAATTGGGTTTTAACACCTGTCATCGTTTGATATTGCTTAAATTATCTTTAGGCAAAATAACATCAAAAGGGCGATAATCCGGCTCTCAATTATTTTAAGGTTTTACTCAAGTGTCAAGACTTTTTATTTATTTATCTCCAAATGTCATTTTTACACATGTCACATTCTAATTGTTATATATACTGTTGATTTTGATTTGAATAGTCAGTCGGAATCGGACAGCCGTCCCGAGTACACCGACCTGTATCAAAATTTGTCGGTTCCATATTAAAAGTTAAAACGCTGGTCGGAGTTTGTCTTGAATCTGTTTAATAAGACTCAAAGCTAGAAAGGAACGCAAATCGTGGCTGACAGAATCCTTGGGTAGAAACGTCAGGGAAGCTGACAGAATCTTCGGGCAGGATCGTCAGGGAACTCAAACAGAGGTTCTTCAAGCGAGAAATAAGCCGTTCACGTTTTCTAGTGGGGTCTTATTCTAGCACGGCCCGAGTGTCGATCGGGTTGGTGTAATCATTAAAGACAAATTTTAATTGATAAATTCAAATTTTTGTAGAGGACAATATAGTAAAGTAAATGTACAGGTAAGATTTTGAATTACATATGTACTTTTCAAATTGTTAAAAAGTAGGTCAAACTTCTAGATCAATGGGTTAGCAGTCATTTCATATTTGGAAAGGTCTTGTTGTATGTAATACACCTTCCAAATTTAAACACCCTGTTGTCTCTCATTCAAAGTTTTCATAACACAGGCGCCGTTAACGGGGAGGGGGTGTGTTAAGTCAGCTTTCTAAATTGAAATTTAGTTTTTCCAAGTCTGTTGGTAAGGTCGTCAGAATCCTGTTGTTATTAAGCCAACATCCTACAGTTTCTGTCCATCAATCTCGACTGACTCTCTTATGTCATAGTTGAGTCTCGTCACTCTTGTTTTCTCAATGTTTATTCTGATGCCTCATTGACTAGAAATTTCATTAAGTTTTTGTGCCTTTTGTTGAATGTCCTGAAATTTTTAGGTAAGTTTAGCAAGGTCATGTACGAAGTCTAGATTGATAGATTGATTGTATGTTGTTTAACGTCCCTCTCGAGATTTTTCACTCATATATACACGCCACTACTTGCCGACGGAGAGCTACAAATTGTGTCCTATACTCTGCACTTAGGGCCATTGAGTAGTGAGGGATATTTTTCGTGCCAGTATCTACTGCGACAGGGACCTCGGTTTATACAATCTCATCCGAAGGACGGGGGTCTCCACGTCCCACAGTGGGATTCGAACCCATGACGTAAGGATCGACTCCTAACTTCGCGACTCTAGAGCAATATGAGTAGTTAATATGACCAAGAAGATTTTTGAAGATTTTTCCTATATACACTTATGTTAAACTTTGATCGTCCATTGTGGCCCCACCTTATCCCTGGGGGTCATGATGCGAACAAATTTGAATCCATACTACCTACGTTAACAATGATTTCACTTGAGTATCATTTTCCCTGGCTCACTGGTTCTTGAGAAAAAGATTTTTAAAATAATGTTATATTTCGCAACTAGTATTTCGTAATTATTTTCGCTCGGAGGAGGGCATGTCCCTTCATTTGAACAAACTTGAACCCAGATAGCAGAATGTTATTGGACCTTTGTTGGGCCAACAATGCTCCTTATGTTGGGCCACCGTTTGCATTCAACATTGGGTCATCGGTAATTTGCTCATCGGCCCTTTATCAAACCAACTTGTTGGCCTATTGTTGGGCCAATGTAACAGTTAATATTGGGCCAATGTATTATTTCAATATTGGGCAAACGTCATTTTTGTACAATTGGGCCATTATAAGCAATTAATGTTGGGACATCGGTAATTTGCTCATCGGCCCTTAATCAAACCAACGTGTTGGCTTATTGTTGGGCCAATGTAACAGTTAATATTGGGCCACTGTTGGGCCAATGTATTTTTTTCAATGTTGGGCAAACGTCATTTTTGTACAGTTGGGCCATTGTAAGCAATTAATGTTGGGCCAACGGTAATTTGCTCATCGGCCCTTAATCAGTCCAACTTGTTGGCTTATTGTTGGACCAACGAACGGATATCATTGAGCCATTGTTGGGCCTCTTATTCTTTCAATTTTAGGAAAACATCATGTTTGGGCCAACGTTGGTTTGTATCTTATTGGCTCTCCATCATGACAACACATTTGCTCTTCACTGGTTGGCCACTTGTCCTCAAAATTGACAAACAAATATATACAATAAGGTTATAATAGTTTTGTAGTACAGTTTAATGGTAAAAGCCCTTTAATACTATCTATATATGCTATATATGCTAGATTAATAGTTTGATACATATTCTCAATATCTCATAGAATTGCCATCAACAAGTATTGCATTGTAAGTAGCTCTACATTTATTAAAATAACTGAGGAAAAGGAAATCAAAATATAAAATTAAATTATGACATACTATAATTTTATTGCTCAGTGCATGAAGAAAACATTAATAAAGAACTAGTTGATGCTCACTTCAAGCGATACATGTAGGGTTACATGACTATATACTCCCTCTCTGATGTAAATTTATGCACAAGTTCAGTAAATTACAGGTATCATTAAGCACGTCTAACAAATAAACAAAGCCCTCTTGTTCTTAAAATAATACTAAAATGAATCCCGTCATTTTGATTACTTACACAAAAAATGTTTCTGGCATCTGCATCGTGTTTGTAACCGACAAACAGACACGGAAAAGGGTAGAACTACAGGTATGTCACACTATATTACAGAAAAAAGTTAGGCACTGTCACTTTCCATATGGTCCCTCTACTAAGTCTCCTCTCTCCCAAGTCTCCTCCTCTCCCTTCTTTTCTTTTCTTCTCTGTCCGTTTCTTCCTCCCCCATCCCTGACCTTGACATACCTTAGTTATTCTTTGACTGCGTTCTCAATGTCTTTTTCTCCAGTAGCATTAAAATTGTAGTATTTGGTACTTAATACATTTGTTACTTTTCTCACTAAAGGATAAACATACGATAAAATTTACAAGTATATCACTATTATGTTTAAGCTGTCAATTAGGAATAATTGTCTTTTTTTGTTTCTTGGTGTGATTAAGTGATTAGCTTGCGCGATGAAGGCATTTATGCATAACATTTCTACGCTTGATCATCATCATCACAACGTTTGATCCAATGTTGCCCCATATAAAAAAATGTATTGAAAATTTGTCGTTACACTGAACAAATTTTAAATGAAAGAACCCAATTTATGTTTTACGGAAGCCCATTTAGGACCTATCAAAAATATTTTTGAATTCGTTATAACGATTTTTAGAATTCGTTATAACGAATTTAATTTGTTATAACAGATTTATTGAAATCGTTATAACGAATTTAATTTGTTATAACAGATTCATTGAATTCGTTATAACAAATTTAATTTGTTAATACAGATTTCTTGAATTCGTTATAACGAATTTAATCTGTTATTACAGATTTTTTGAATTCGTTATAACTAATTTAATCTGTTATTACAGATTTTTTGAATTCGTTATAACTAATTTAATCTGTTATTACAGATTTGTTGAATTTGTTCTAACGAATTTAATCTGTTATTACAGATTTGTTGAATTCGTTATAACGAATTTAATATGTTATAACAGATTTGTTGAATTCGTTATAACCAAATTCTTGAATTGGTTAAAACGAATTCAACAAATCTGTAATAACAGATTAAATTCGTTAAAACGAATTCCATAAATCTGTAATAACAAATTAAATTCGTTATAACGAATTTAAGAATCTGTAATAACAAATTAAATTCGTTAAAACGAATTCAATGAATTTGTTATAACAAATTAAATTCGTTATAACGAATTCAATAAATCTGTTATAACAAATTAAAATCGTTATAACGGATTCTAAAAATCTGTTATAACAAATTAAATCCGTTATAACGAATTCTAAAAATTCGTTATAACGAATTCAAAAATATTTTTGATAGGTCCTAAATGGGTTTCCGTAATGTTTAGTACTGAATAAATTTTCTTTTAACTTCAACATGTTCAACATTTTCAAAATGATTCATCATGTACTCGACGTTTAAGTGTATATAAGTAAATTAAGTGGTAGACTTCGGAAATGTATTCTACTAGACACAAATTTCAATCTAAATAAGGGGCAAATTATTTATTGTTTTAACTGTATCAAAAGACATTTGTTATTTTATACTTCCATTTATTTTTCTTGTAAAGAAACAATAAATTTAATCACTGATAATTCATTATGATTTGATAAATTATAAGTACTTTAAATCTATTTTACCTAGCTTGTATTTTCAAGTAGGATTGGTCGTAGATTTATTTCTGATTGTAGAGACGATCAGATCTGTTAATATACATATTTGTAACAATTAAATGTTTATACACATTGGCCCAATGTTGGTCCAATATATCGGGCCAACATTGGGCCAAGGAGCAAAATGACACTGGGCCAACGTCATTTGCCAACATCGACCTAATGTTCTTGTTGACGTTTCGCCAACAATGTCGCATTCATTGGGCCAATGTTGGCCCAATATCTCTATAAATAACACTCTACATTGGGCCAACGTTGGTCCAACATATCGGGTCAACATTGGGCCGATGAGCAAACTATTGGGTCAATGTCATTCGCCAACATTGGCCCGATGTAACCAATTACATTAGCCCAACGTTGACCCAATGTTAGCATGCTATCTGGGGTGCAGTGTTGACCCAACAGCACCTGGCCTCTGCACTTCCCCATGTCTGATTTACACAGATATGTACATGATATCGTTTAAAAACTAAACGTTAATTCAGCTATGCCGAGGCAAACATATTATTAATACTTACAAAGTGGATGCAGATATGCAAGGTATCAGTCTCATTACGCTCGCTCGTGTCAGATTAAAAATGGCGCGGATATTACAAGTAGCCCGGTTGTTGTCTACCCATGATGCTTAGTCAAATTCATGGTATACCGGTATTGGGCCAACGTAGGGCCGATGCCAATCCCCAAACAAATATTTTCTCTCATGAGAATAGTTTTATGATATAGGCCTAATGCCAACAGTTAGCCCAACATTAGCGCACCGTTATACATAACCAGCTATCAATATTCCATGTTGAGCCATTGTTGGCCCAATCAAGGCAACCCAACATAGATAATAGAACCATAATGTAAGATTTGGCCAACGATGTTCTGCTATCTGGGTTATTACAAATAAATATTCAAAAATTAGAATAAAACACTCTTTGGTGCTGTGATCACTTAAGTGCAAAATTAAAATGTTGAAAATATCAAAAGCAGTCATCCAATGATAAGCATGGACATAGAAAGTCCTCTTGATTATTTCAGAATGTGCCAACGTTGTCCCAACGTAAAGCTCAGCAACTAATTATAAAATTGACACCATCAATTAGTTGGCAGTATAATAACTGGGCCAACGTTGGCCCAGTATAAATATCCCATCTTTGAAACACCTAAACAAAATAACACTTGTGTGTATTACAAACATTGTGCCAACGTTGGGCCAACGTACTACTACCAACTTGATAAGGCACTTTCTTTAAGAGTGTATTAAAAACAATGGGCCAACGTTGGGCCAGCATAATACTACCAACTTAATAAGACATTTTCGTTTAAGGGTGTATTAGAAACATCGGGCCAACGTTGGGGAAACATTCTACTTCCAACTGGATAAGGCACTTTCTTTAAGGATGTATTACAAACATTGTGCCAACGTTGCGCCAACATACTACTAAAAACTTGATAAGACACTTTCTTTAATGGTGTATTACTAACAATGGGCCAACGTTGGGCCAACATACTACTATCAACTTGTAAATACACTTTCTTTAAGGGTGTATTATAAACATTGGTCCAACGTTGGGCCAACACCAGGATCCTTCCCTCCTTGGAAACTAAAGTGAAGGGAAGTTGCTTACGTTGTACCAACATTGGGCCAACATAGGAATTCCGTCATGGCCGAGAAGGTTGACTTGGTAACATTGGTCCAACGATGGCCCAACGTTGTTCCCCCAACGCCAACCATACAACCTTTAACAAATGTTGGCCCAACATAGTCATGCTATCTGGGAATCCCCTTACCCAAGAATATTTTTTGCCAAGTTTTGTAGAAATTGGCCCAGTAGTTCTAGAGAAGATAATTAAATTGTGTAAAGTTTACGACAGCGACGACAGGCACGGAAATATTTTGATCAGAATACTAGTAGCTCATTTGAGACTGTGGCTCAGGTGAGCTAAAATATATTCGTTAAACACTGATGCCGAAGTATGGCAGCTTATGGCGAGGGTGAAAAGTTTCTCAAATGCAAGTCTAACTCCAAAGGTGAAGAGATCAAAAATGTTGTTACCCAAACAAAGGACTTGTGTCCATGAATATATGTTTGAAATATGAAAACCCAAGTCATAAACTATTTAAAGTTATGA